TGTCACTGGAATACACACAATACATTCTTTATCATCAACAAATATATGTGCAGATGCAACAAGTGACCAATCAATGTTATAACTATTTTTATAATAATTAACATTATCTTGTGCAGTTGTATTCGGGTTTCCAGTATCGTGAGCGACGGCAAAAACAGGTTTACCACTTGTTAATTTTTGCCCACTTCTACGAGTTCCTATTGGTAACCAATCATATTTTACTGGGACACCATTCCATTTTTCAGTCATTTTACATTACCTCCACCTAATTTATTCGTTTTTTCTGCAGATGTACCTTGTCTATTTTTGAACGTCTCCCAAATACCAGTTGCCATTAATCCACTGATTAGACCAGCCAATAAACGTCCTGTTATTGACAATTCTGATACTATTTCTGGAATAAAAGTGGTAATCCCTCCGATGACTATTCCTATAACTATAGAAATAATTGGGATAATATTTTTAGGTATCATTTTTGTTCTTTTCACTACTTCTGTTAAAGCGATTGTTAATACTGATATCACACCAGCAAATGCAATTATTTGTTCCATAAATTTAACCTCCAAAATAAAAAGCCGACGCTATGCGCCGACCTTTAAAATTTAATTATTTACATTTTCCGAACCAAAAACATTCCCAAAAACTTGCGCCGAAAACTAACGTTTCATTTAAGAAGTTAAGCATTATAATCACCCCTTTCAAAGTTACCAACCGACCAACATCTTAATAGATGTCCATATTAAAGAACCAAGTATGGAGAAAATAGTCCCAATGATTAACCACTTAAGCTGTTGGAATTGCTTTTTATTTTCTTCACGATTTACCTTTTCAATTTCTCGTTCACGATTAATTGAATCTAATGTATAATTCATCTTTATATTAGTTATTTCTTGTGTATGTTGACCTTTTTCAATTTCTTTTAATGAGTTATGAAGTTTTTCTATAGACTCATTAATTTCTTTTCTATCTTCTTTCATTGTGTTTTCTATATTTCTTAAGCGTTTGTCGTTATATCTGTCTTTATCTTCCAAAATACCGACGCGACGCTCAATATCTTGATTCCCTTCACTACTCACTCTGTCACCTACTTATTCCAAAATAAAAACCCCAAGCTTATGCTTGAGGTTCAATATATTCTTCACCAGTTATTTCTTTGTATTGTTCTTTAGTGATACAACCGTAATCATAGTAGATTTTAATTTCTGCGTTTGTGTAACAATTGATATCGTAAAAATATTTTATACTTTCAAATGATGGGAACATTAGGCATTACCTCCGATTTTGTTTTCTATCTCTGTTATTTTAAGTAAAGCGTCTGCCAAAGTTTTATTGGTTGCTTCCAATTTATCTTCGAGTTCTTTCGTCTTTTTATTTCCAATCATGACTTGCAATTGTAATTGGGATACCAACATTTCCAAAGCTTTAGGCTCCATTGGGGGCTTAGCTTGATTTGACTCCCATTCTTCTTTAGTTGTGCCTATCCATTCATCACCATTAAAATAAAAAGGTTGGTATATACCTGGTGGCGGTGGTGTTTCCGTCCATCCTTCATCTGGGTAATTATATTCGCCATCTTCATTTAACATTGCAATGTAAGGCGTCCCGTCATATAAATAAACTACTTTCATTTAATCAGCTCCTTAATCTGTCCAAGTAATTTCACCATATGCGTAATCAGTAGTTGTCCATGCACTTGCATCACCGTTAATATAAAACTTAACTTCACCACTCGGTCTAATAACCACATAGCCACCTGCATATTTAGTCGGTATTCTAATTGGAAAAGTTTGAGCATTTTTGCAAAAGTTACTTGGTAAATTTGCGATTGTTTGCCCTGGAGTTAAATTTGTGCCGTTGATTCTAAGATAACGATTAACCACTGAACCATTGACTGATGTTCTATACGCACAATCGAAACCATTATCACCAGTTGATTTATAAGCTGTATTGCTTTGAACTCCATTTATCATTTCAAATGGAATCCATCCTGTGTCAGCTATACCTCCATCTATGCGTTCCCAATCTGCCCACGTTTGGTAATATCGTTTAACCCATACCTCAGATGAATTATATGGTCTGAATGTAATTCTTTTGGTAGTAACATCACTTCTTTGTTCTATCACTGTAAAACCAGCCGTTGAACTAGCACCTGTGATAGGTGTAGAAGTTGTGTAATAATTGCCGGGAGCTAGACTGTGTAAAGAATCTAAATTACTTCCTAAAGCTATAACTTGATAGCTACCGTCATTATTAGTGAGCCTATATTGTTGAACTGGTAAAGTTGCAATATCTGTGATTAATTCTGTCCAATCATTCCATACTCCGTTATTTTTGGTTCTTTCGTATACTTTATTAGTATTAAAAGGTCTATATTCCATTTTTGCGTAATTAGCTGTTCTTACGTAATATTTAAAGAATCCAGTTGATTGAATGCCGGGATAGTTTTTTGAGGTGGATGCATACCCAAATGTTGTTTTACTACCAAGCATTGTTTCAGGTGAATTAAAGTCCAAACCACTATACGAATCTAAAATACCTGCATCATTTGTTAACTTTGCTTTTTGCCAAGTTAAACTAGATAATTTAGTTTCTAAATCAGTAGAACTAACTATCTTCTTATCTTCTATCGCTTTTAAAATTTCATCTCGAGTTTGAGTGATTGTGTTAACTGTATTTGTCCCAACAAGTCCTATATCATTTTTAGCTTGAACTACTTTCGCATCAATATCCGCCTTACCATCCACCACAATTTGATTAAGTGTGTCTTTGCCTTGTTGTAATACTGTTTTCATTTCCGCCACATAGTCTGCACCATTCGCAATCGCATCTTCTATATCTTTAACTTGCTGTTCGATTTTCATTTTTAATTGACTGAACATGCGAATATATTCAATCTTGGTTGTTGAGGTTATTTTGTTAATCAAAGCATCAGCAACTTCAAATTGGAATTCGTTTAATACTGCGACCTCATTGTATTGAGGATTACCGTCTACATTGTTGACGCCAATATATACTTGACCTTTAACTGTTGTGTTTGTACAAGCATGTAAAAAGGCACTGTCTAGTGTGATCGTGACAATGCCTTTAAATTCATCTTCAATTGCTAATTCAATTACATCTGATACGCTACCATTCGTTGATTCAAAATAAGCATATGCCGTTAAATTTTCTTTACTAATTAGTAATGGTCCCTTATCGTTACTCAATTGAAATCTTAATATTGCTGTATTTTCATCTAAATTATAAAAGCCAAACCCTAAATCAGAGATTGGCTTTAAATAAGGTTCAGATGCAAGTTTGAATAACGCTTTTTTGTCTATTCCGTTTGTCATCGTATCACTCCTATTTCACTTGTACGACTGCAACGCCGTAACCTTTTTCAGAATCAAATGGTGTAGTAACTTCTAACACACGATAGAAACCATTGTTATTATCTTTCGTTCCAATACCTTTATTGGCTTTGATTTTGTCATTCACAGATACAGTACCATCAATACGCGTGAATATTTGTCCCATTAATCCAACCACATTCCATTCTGGGCGTTCAGATCGTGATAAATATTCTTCGTCTTTGCTAGAATCAAAATCAGGATTTTCTATAGGTAACTCAACTTCTTCTGAATACCAATTGCCTTCATCATCTTGCCATTGCTTTTTAACAAGTTCAGTGAGCGTCACACCAAATTCATTTTTTAAGAATTTATCTTTGTGATGCCACATTTGGTCACCTAGTATAATACCTGCAGTGCCTGAAATAATACCTAAAGGTTCATCATTTATGTTTGCTTTTCGAATATAACGACCATCAAGCGTAACAATGGTACCTAATAGAATCGGTTGGCCACTTTGGGATTCATAATACTCTGCGTAGTCACCAAAATTTTGCCCGGATTGTACTTGTCCTTTCGTGTTCAAGTTACCACTAATTGGACGAATCTCTAATGAAGTATTTGCAGTGGATGCGCCACCTGTTCCGTATCCCATTGCAATAACATAGTTTTGATTTGTTTTAACACCACGTGAATTCATAATCGTTTGAGTATGATTACCTTGTGTCGTTTCTGATTCTAATGAGTTGATTATCGCGCTACGTGACCCATACACTTTCGAGTTCATACCTGTTCCTGCAGCCCAACTTCTATCACTAAAAGCAAAAGTATTACCTGTGGAAGCAATAACCGCAGAACGTTCTGCAACTGCTGCTGAACCTGTAGAGCCTGCACTGAATCCGCCTTTTACAACAGTTGGAGCTTTATTATATTTCTTACCTGCAATGTCTGCCGCATTAGTATATCCTGTAGCTTGAACACCAATAAGTTCCGCAGTGTTACTATACATAAATACACCTGTTCCAGTGCCATTACCTTGCAAGTTAGCATTTATAATTCTAGTGTCATAAACTTTAGAACCGCCACCGATAGCAATATTCTTAGATGAGTTCCAAATATTCAAATTTGAAATCGTAACGTTCTTAGGTCTATTATTACCACCCATAATTTTTATATCTTCACTTGCATTAACGAAACCAGTGATATTTAAATTGTTCAACATTACATTCTCAGCTCGATATTGAACTGCAATTGCCGGTTGCCCTGCCATAAACTCACCACTACCTATTGCAGTAAAACCGTTAACTTGAACGTTTCGGTATGCAGACACAATCATGGCTCTAGGTGTTGCTCCTGGATACTTGCCATTGTCTACCGGCTCTATTGCAGTAATACCATTTGCAACAATTGAATGTGCTGATTTCGTTTGTGGATCAGTAGCTTTATGGTGTCCAATATGTCTCCAATTGTATGCTCTAACACAATGTATTGATTGATGGCCGTTGATAAGAATATTGTTAGGAGCAGTGGCAGTCTCATGCGCTTTAATTTCTAAACCACCGAAACAGTTTTCAGTAATGTTATTCGATAACATAACATGTTGTGAAGCATCATCTACCTCAATACCATTGTTATTAGGTTGAGAGGCTGCTACAGGGTCTGCTGAATAGTTGTTACTAATTGTTAAATATCTACTATGATGTGTTGTAATTCCATCATCGCCAAAGCCTTTAGCAATACAACTATCAATCGTTACATACTTACTTTCAAGCGCTTCACTAACTCTTACACCATCACCTTGATAATAGTATTCATCACTCGCATAAGTGATGTCAAAGCCATGTAATAAACCATCAATTGATTTAACTTTATAAGCACCACCGAATTTAACACCGGCAAAACGTACGTTAGATGACAATGAACCACCCGCAGGTTGTAATACTTTATTTTGTCTGTATCGATTACCATCAATTGTGAAATTATCAATATAAATGTTTGTTGCGTTACCTGTCATATCCTCATTTGTAATACCTATCGTTTGAGCTGGTGCAGTATCTGCAATTTTCAAATTAGTGATATCAATACCTTCACCGGATAATACTGTATTGTTTGGCAATTTAAGTCCACTAATGATGTAAGTGCCCGCAGTCATGTGTGCATGAACATTTCCACCTCGCACCGCTTTTTTAAACGCTTCCGTAGAATCTGTTTGCCCCGTTGGGTCTGCACCATAATCATTCACATTTATAATTCTTTCTATCTTGCTATTTAGTTTATTGTAGTTATCTTCAATGGTTTTATTAATGATTTGAAAGTCGTATTTTAAACGTACAGAAAGTAAATCATGATTACTACCATCTAAAGCTGTTCTACTGTCTTTTACTTCTTCCACACCATTTCCATTGTGACCAATAACTAAGCCCTCGATTCGTCCATCTTGATACTGTAATTCATCATGAACGTTTGAGAGCTTATAATCTATCTGTTTTGCATGGTGTGCGTGTTTTTCTTCTGTTTTATGTTTGTTTATTCTTTCATTTAATACTGCGTGATAATTTATCAATCTTTTGAAATTTTCTACAGTTTTATATCTGAATTCTTGTCCGAGTTCGATAGGGAAATCTGTAAACAAAAGCATATGCATTGCCCCTTTTATTTTAATCTGTTATCCAAGTGTGTTGCCCGTATACCCACTGTTTACCATCTTGGTCAGCGGTTGGAAAATATACTGTCATAACACCTGTTCTTGTAATATTTATCGTTGGTGGTACATGTGTACTTGATACTGAAGGTACAAAGCGAATTGTTTGGTCTACAAAACCATTTGGCAATTGCGCGATTTGTGTATTATGTGCCACATTACTCAAATGAACCCTAATCGTTCTAATTTTAAAGTTTTTACCATTCGAAAAACCTACAGCAACTTCTCTTATACCACAGTTAAATCCATCACTTAACGCATTGTTTTTGTTAGCAGTTGGAACAGAATAATCAATCCAACCGGAATCTCCAACAATTTTCCCTAAATCTGACTGTGTCGCAGTTAGCTGTTGCGTAAGCAAGTCAATTGTTTCTTGTTGTTTCTTTAATGTTGTGTTGGCAGTATCTAATGTACTATTTATTTCAGTTATTTTGTCGTTAATATCAGTAAGTGATACACCTTCTAATCCTTCAACAGCGTTAATATGCGTGATTGGAAAAAACACTTCATTTTCATTATCTCTCAACCATCTGTGATTTATATCAGTCATCTACTGTTGTCACCCCTACAATATCCGAATAATTTTCAGGCATAGAAAAAGACGATTCACCAAGTGAGCCGCCCTGCGTTAGATTATTCATTTTTTTAATATTTCTATTTAAATTTTGTTGTATTTTAATAATGTCAGTTGGAGAATTACTGAAATCTACTTCAACTGATTCATTAGTTAATGGATGTGGTACGGTTAATTTCACTACTTTTAAATCTATATTAAAACCTAATGGTTTGTGTATGAAATGGATCATGTGATTTTCTTTTATATCTCCATCACCTAAGTAATGTTTATCTTCCACACTTCCTAAATAGTTTGTTGATACCTCTACTGTAGGTTGGTCATTTAACTGCGCCTTTAAGTTTGTAAGTAATTCTTCTTCATCTAGTGCTGTATCATCGAACACTGTAGGTGCTTCTGAATGTCCAAACACTTCATAATTAGGTGATTTATATTCTACATAACCTTTATACATATCAGACCCTTTTAATACGGCAGTTATATTTAATACTGTGGATTTTTCAGTACCCACGTACATTGTAGGTGCTGTTTTATATTCCTTAACATTAGGGTCTGCACCTCTGTGAACAGCTTTAAAAGTATGTGAACCTTTACTCAAATTACGAGCAATAATTATTTGTTCAGAACGTGCAGTATGACTATAACAACTGTACCTGTTTATCAATTCACCATCTAAATAAACATCTAACAAACCACCTCTTGATAGTTTCTTAAGCGTCCAAGTCAACGTTTCGTTTCCCCATTTACATTCAAATGTTTTTTCAAACGAATCTCCAACAGTTTGTGTTCGCCATGTACCTTCTTTAAAAAACGTACCGTTATATTTTAAATTTGGAGGTTTCACAGGATTATAATTTTTGGTTTCAGTTTTTGTTTTCTTTTGCCCATACCCTCGAATATAAGTTCTCACATCAGTTGTAGTGGTTGTTGCTTGCACTTCACTAGAATTGTATTTGTAGATTAAAGGCATATCTGACATTTGATAAAACGTCGATTGATCATAAAAGTAAATTTTTTTATTATCCGCAAAATAAATATAATCAAATACATCTGCACCTTCAGTAATATATTCCATACCATTTTTATTACCAAGTTCCTCTACGGGTTTTCTGTCTTTAAAATCACCTTTAATTTCGTAACTGAAATCAAGTTTGTTACCCTTGAAACCAAAATCTAAATATTGTTCTAATGTCATAGTAGTTTTAGTTTCTTCATCAGTAGTTTCTTCACCATTCAGTTCTTCGTTTTCCAAATCCTTTTGAATATAATGATTTTGAAACTCCATAAATATATGCTTGGCTACAACTTCATTAGTAACGATACTTCCATCATATTTAATAGCAGTAGATTTAATTACATACGTTTGACCTTTCCATTCAAGCAACATTTCATTTAAAACATTTTCAAAAATATCAGCATTGTTATTTGTTTTATATATAGTAAACGA